ACAACTTCAAAACGAGTTGCTTTGTTTATGGTGACTTTAGCGTAAACTGCCTTGAGGGCTTCCTTATTGTAGCCCTACCATACAGGGGTAAGATAGCAAAACATATATATATACTGAGGCGAGGCGAGTCACAGCTTTCAGGCAGCTTGAGCACTGGGCTCTCTTGCAAGGAAATTTGAAACTGAGAGCACATTGCCACAGGCGAGAGGCCATTACCTAATTTTCGACTGAGTCACCTCTTTCAAAAAGTGCACACTGTTGGGAGTATTTTAAATGGCTCTCTCCAATGCTCTACCTACTGACTTGCCATCCAAAGCTTCAATTAAATAACAGTTCAGAACATAATGAACTGAAAAATTTCACACTCTGAGGTGAGATACGCATATATAGCACGGATGGTGAGAGAATTAAGAAGGTACAGTAAAAACAGGACCAGCTGCTGGCTAGTGAGATTTGGCCAGCTTTTGACAAAAGGGAAATATTTGATGGGAGCCCTTGCCAACAAATATGCCATACCCTCCAACATTTATCTGATGAGAATAGCGATGTCTTATTCCATCATCATCATCAGAATCATACCCCAGCCACTCTGGGCAATTTCCAGCATAATAAAACATTAAACATTAAGAAACATCCCTATACAGGGATGCCTTCAGATGTCTCCTAAAGGTTGCAGTTACTTATCTCCTTGGCTTGGGGGTTGCATAACTCCATATCTTGTTTTAAATTTATATATCTAAAGAGAATATTAACCTCCTGGTTATCCTTCACCTGTTGTGCTGCTTAGCTAGTCCTTATAGTTAAGATAAAGGTAAAGGGTAAAGGGACCCCTGACCATTAGGTCCAGTCGTGACCGACTCTGGGGTTGCGGCATTCATCTTGCTTTACTGGCCGAGGGAGCCGGCGTACGGCTTCTGGGTCATGTGGCCAGCATGACTAAGCCGCTTCTGGCGAATCAGAGCAGCGCACGGAAACGCCGTTTACCTTCCCGCCAGAGCGGTACCTATTTATCTACCGGTACTTGCACTTTGATGTGCTTTCAAACTGCTAGGTTGGCAGGAGCAGGGACCGAGCAATGGGAGCTCACCCCGTCGCGGGGATTCGAACCGCCAACCTTCTGATCGGCATGTCCTAGGCTCTGTGGTTTAACCCACAGCGCCACCCACATCCATTTATGGTTAAGATACTACCAACCTAAACCCTGGCACCTGGAACGCTTCCTTCTGGCAACTCCTGTGGCCAAGCTGGTGCCAAACATATTACTCTGCTTTCCTTTGGACCACATCAGAGAGGCTGAGAGGGATCTTGTTGTCTCTGCATCCCAGGACCTCCAGACACACTGCCCAGGCTTGCGCCCCAGAGAGGTCACTTTGGTGCTCTTAAAACAGCACCCCCAGAGGCGCACTTCATTGTCTTTTGAGACAGACAGATGCCAAACACCACAACATGCAACTCTCTAGAGCTGGAGTGGGGAAGCTGGAGCCCACCAGTTGTTGCCGAGTTCCAGTTCACATCAGCCCCAGTCTACATGGCAAATGATCAGAAATGACAGGAGTCAGGAGTGCAGGCAATCTGGTGGATCACAGCTTCCTCCATTATAGAATTCTATTCAGGGTCGTCTGAGCTAGTGTGATGTAGTGGTTAAGAGGGGTGGACTCGTAATCTGGTGAACTGGGTTCGCTTCCCCGCTCCTCCACATGCAGCTTCTGGGTGACCTTGGGCTAGTCACACTTCTCTGAAGTCTCTCAGCCCCACTCACCTCACAGAGTGTTTGTTGTGGGGGAGGAAGGGAAAAGAGATTGTTAGCCGCTTGGAGACTCCTTAAAGGGAGTGAAAGGCGGGATATCAAGTCCAAACTCCTCCTCCTCTTCCTCTTCCTCTTCTTCTTCTTCCCCATAGGCACTAAGGGTGCAGGGCACCCGGTCGCCAGGCTCTCAGGGGCGCCAGGCCAAGAGTCCAAGGCCCGAGAGCTGAATCCGGGGAAGAGCCCGCCCGTCGGTCAGAGCGCCGCAGCGGGGTCTTCTGCACTGTGAGTTTGGGGGCGACTGAGCCAGCAAGATGCTGAGGCGGCCAACCAGCTCTGCCCTCCTGCGCGCCTGGGACTGGGCAACTTGGGGGGGGCACCGGGCAGATCTTTGCACCCCGGTGCAGGATATGCTTAAGACAGCCCTGATTCTATTTCTTTTTCCTGGACTGCCAGAGTAGAAATCCGTAAATGTAGCCAAATCCCCACCTTATTTCTGACTAGAATTTTTCCACGTTAAGTGCCGACGATTGTCAAAATAGTCATCTGAAACCACCCGCAGCCTTGTCTAAAACTGAAGCCCGTATGCTTTGTGTTAAATTACAGTATTATATATATATATATTTTAAAATAGAGCTATGGAAGGAAGACCCCTTTCCTCCTTTCCTCTGCCTTTCCGTTAAGATACAGTAATCCTACTCCTTTTGTTGCCAACTGTTCGGCAGCTATCCTGTCAGCAGAGCTGCATTCCTGCACTCATTTAATAGCTATTTATCATTCAGTAATCTGCCCATTTTCAAGAAGGAATAAAGTTAAGTGTTCCAGAAATTGGAAAAAATTGAAACTTGACCTTTATTAAGTGGGTTAATTGTCACCATCACAGCATGTATGAAATTAATGACCAAAAAGTAGAATTTTGAGTTTCAGAAGACTAGGTTAATGTCCAAAAAAAAAGGTATAAACTCTGACCTTTTTGACATATGCCAAAAGAAACAGCCACCTTAATAAATTACTACCTGTATGCAATTATACTAAACCATCCCCAGCATCCAATCACTTAAATTAATTGCTGCAATATTTTAGTTATTATTCTCAAGACTCTTCGGCAGCCTACAAGCGGCTGTGGGTTTTGTAAGGCAGTTCGTTTTTCTAGTGCAATCTTATTTCCCTTTTCGCGTGGATGAGACCAAGATCATTCAAGTAAGCGACCGAAAAAGTTAGAGAGGCATTAACCACTTTAAAAATTAAAGGGTTAAAGCAATTTCTCTTTTTTTAAGTTTTATTTTTCAGTTTTTCAAATTAACATAACCATCAAATACATAGTTTAGACTTCCCTCCTCCCTTTCCTTGGTTCCCTATACAAGCATTTGCAAAACCTGCATCTCTTCCTTAACTCCTTTTATTACTCTTTATTCTTCTTCCAAAGCCACCTTTTAACTGCTAGATTTTAAATTTATTCTGCTAATGTATTTGTTTATATTAAAAAAAAATCCCGATTCTTTGCTGAAAGTTCTTGATTTCTTAATCTTGCCTGACCGAATCTGGCTGACTGACCGAACCCAAAGGGTGCTCATCAATGGTTCCTCTTCATCCTGGAGAAGAGTGACTAGTGGGGTGCCACAGGGTTCTGTCTTGGGCCCGGTCTTATTCAACATCTTTATCAACGACTTGGATGATGGACTCAAGGGCATCCTGATCAAATTTGCAGATGACACCAAACTGGGAGGGGTGGCTAACACCCCAGAGGACAGGATCACACTACAAAACGACCTTGACAGATTAGAGAACTGGGCCAAAACAAACAAGATGAACTTTAACAGGGAGAAATGTAAAGTATTGCACTTGGGCAAAAAAAATGAGAGGCACAAATACAAGATGGGGGACACCTGGCTTGAGAGCAGTACATGTGAAAAGGATCTAGGAGTCTTGGTTGACCACAAACTTGACATGAGCCAACAGTGTGACGCGGCAGCTAAAAAAGCCAATGCAATTCTGGGCTGCATCAATAGGAGTATAGCATCTAGATCAAGGGAAGTAATAGTGCCACTGTATTCTGCTCTGGTCAGACCTCACCTGGAGTACTGTGTCCAGTTCTGGGCACCACAGTTCAAGAAGGGCACTGACAAACTGGAACGTGTCCAGAGGAGGGCAACCAAAATGGTCAAAGGTCTGGAAACGATGCCTTATGAGGAACGGCTAAGGGAGCTGGGCATGTTTAGCCTGGAGAAGAGGAGGTTAAGGGGTGATATGATAGCCATGTTCAAATATATAAAAGGATGTCACATAGAGGAGGGAGAAAGGTTGTTTTCTGCTGCTCCAGAGAAGCGGACACGGAGCAATGGATCCAAACTACAAGAAAGAAGATTCCACCTAAACATTAGGAAGAACTTCCTGACAGTAAGAGCTGTTCGACAGTGGAATTTGCTGCCAAGGAGTGTGGTGGAGTCTCCTTCTTTGGAGGTCTTTAAGCAGAGGCTTGACAGCCATATGTCAGGAGTGCTCTGATGGTGTTTCCTGCTTGGCAGGGGGTTGGACTCGATGGCCCTTGTGGTCTCTTCCAACTCTATGATTCTATGATTCTATGGTTTGAATCCCTGCGACGGGGTGAGCTCCCGTTGCTTGGTCCTACCAACCTAGCAGTTCGAAAGCACGTCAAAGTGCAAGTAGATAAATAGGTACTGCTCTGGCGGGAAGGTAAACGACGTTTCCATGCGCTGCTCTGGTTCGCAAGAAGCGGCTTAATCCTGCTGGCCACATGACCCGGAAGCTGTACGCTGACTCCCTCGGCCAATAAAGCGAGATGAGCGTGCAACCCCAGAGTCGGTCACGACTGAATCTAATGGTCAGGGGTCCCTTTACCTTTACTTTCCCCAAATTGGACACCATATAACATCAGATGGGAAAGTTCAAGGAAGAGTCTCTTTTTGCCCCTCTAGTTTGAAGTCAAGCAATGGCTGCAGAGGAGCTGGAACTGCAAACGAAGAATCTTCCACTGAAAGCCAATACCTGACCTTTGAATCACTTGTTGTCACATGATTTGAGAGGACGGTGCCCCACCCACATGCCAAAGCGGTCCCACACTGGTGGGATCCAGTTCCTCTCACCCCTGCTGTGTGTATTCACACATCCCCAGACCCTGCCGCTTACCACTCCTATCCCAACTCCCTTGCAGCCTGTGTAACCAGAGCCGAAATCTAAGTCGATACGTCCAACGCTTATGCTCATGCAAAATGAATGAAAAAGTAGCAGACACAAATTAATCAATTTTTACTTTTAATAATTTTCTTAGTCAAAAGTGTAGCTTTGAAAATCTCTAGCTATTTGTGAAAATCTGAAAAGGTTGGGGAGCAGCCTCACTCTGAACAACACAGTTTGCACCTGGAGGCTGGGCTGAGCTGCTTCCAATCTCTTCCTTCACCAAATTAAACCAGGGTCATTTTGAAATTTTAAAAAAGTCAAGCCTTAAAAAATAATAATAAACAAACTGAGGATGTACTGTAGTTGCGCACTTTGATTTCAAGGATATGGTGGGGTGGGGAATTAAGTTTCTTGTACAGTAAACCAAACCACAAAATAAACGATAGTTCATAGAAACCACTGTAATTAGAATGTATTCTTAACGTTTGAAACCTAGTGAAAATAAGGTTGCCACCTTACATTTTTAAGGGTGTATCTACTTTTCAGTGCATCTACTCTTTTGTGCTGCTCTGATCTCTGCCTATGCCAAGTGGTCAGTCAGTCAAACTTGCCACCTCCTTGGGCAAGAAAACAAGCTTTACATTTTAGAAGTCAGAGAAAACAGAACAGAAAGATAGCAGATAAAGTTGAACTCTTCCCTAGGAAGTAAACACGTTTTCCTAACTGAGGGCTGCACAATTCTCCAAAGGTACCACCTCTCTCATTTTTCCTGGACCCTAGTCTTCCAAAAGCAAGATGGCAATCTTAGTAGAAAAGGGATGCTAAATCTTTTAAATAACTTAAAAATCTTTTTTATTATTATTATTATAAAGCAGCAAAAAACATTTTCCTCTGCAGAAAGAAATGTTAGGAAACACACCAATGTAAATCACTGTTCGGAGGAGGAGGAGGAGGAGGAGGAGGAGGAGGAGAAGAAGAAGAAGAAGAAGAAGAAGAAGAAGAAGAAGAAGAAGAGAACACCTGCTAGTTTTCAATTTCACAATAAATTCAAAACTATTTTAGAGCTATTCTTTAACCTCATCAGTACTGTCTGAAGAAGATTCTTTGGCATCTTCAGTCTCTCTGTTACTTTCCTCTTGATTTAGATTTTCATTTTCTGATTTGGTCCCGTTAAGCAAAGAATTGTCACCATTCACAAATCCGTTTGCTGCAACTTCTGCCCCAATGGCTTCCTCAATCTTTAAGTCCTCTTGATCCTCCGTCTCTTCGTCCAAGTTTCTCAAGACAATTGGGAGTCTTGAGTCTGCCACAGTATTCTCTAGTAAGGCAATATTACTCTCTTCATACTTGGGGAGGAGAACTCCTTCTGCCATTTGTTTGCCGTAATACTCTCTGTTGGCGGCCGCACTCTTGACTGCTTTCTCCAAAATTTCTTTCTCTCCTAAGCGCAGCTTAATAGCCATTGTTGCGTGACAGGTAAGGTCATGTGTTTCCAAAAAAGATTTATCATCCTAAAAACAGAAATGGGGGAGAAGAGAAGAGAATAAAACGTGGTATATTCACCAAAATCTAAGCAAGGCTTTGGATTTTAACCATAAAGCTGTACTTCTGTAAGTGGTCAAAGTTACCAGTTTTTTACATTGTTGTATTAATCATAACAATGCCATTGTTATGCCAGGTCAAATGTAAAAATGAATGCAGTTATACATAGTGAAAGGGAGCAGCTGATAGGTGTTCTAGGCCTAAGAGGCAGAGAGGAGAGTCATTAAAGTGAGCAGGTAATACTGAGTATGAAACAGTCTTGGAATCTTAAGTCAGTGGAGGTCTGAAAAAAAGGAAATGTTTGCAATTCGAAGACAAAAAGAGTTTCCATGCCCAGAAAGACACTATAGAGCAGTGTTTCCCAAACTTGGGTCGCCAGCTGTTTTTGGACTACAACACCCATCATCCCTAGCTAGCAAGACCAGTGGTCAGGGATGATGGGAATTGTAGTTCAAAAGCAGCAGAAGAACTAAGCTTGGGAAACACTGCTATAGAGTAGCTGGAATGAGTGTGTCTGAAAAGTGGGTACAAATCATAAGCGTTAAGAGGTCCATTCCTGCCTCCTCAAGCCCAAAGTACCGCACACATGCTAAAATAGAAAATTGCTTTTTTTCAGAAGCCCAGCATATGGGCTGTAGATCATGGTCCATTTCTGAATACAGTGGTACTTCGGGTTACATACGCTTCAGGTTACAGACTCCGCTAACCCAGAAATAGTACCTTGGGTTAAGAACTTTGCTTCAGGATAAGAACAGAAATCACGCAGCTGCAGCAGCGGGATGCCCTATTAGCTAAAGTAGTGCTTCAGGTTAAGAACAGTTTCAGGTTAAGAACGGACCTCCGGAACGAATTAAGTACGTAACCAGAGGTACCATTGTACAAAGTTCAGAAAACCTACAGTGCAGCAGCCAAATGATGAGCTTACACCTCTAAACATCTCTCAAGCACAAAGAATACTATTAACTCCTTTCTAGAGGAGAAAGGCACCAAAGGGAATGTTTTTAAAAGACGAACTCATTCCTATGAGATTAGACCAAATATCCTGTTAGGTTTACAAGTACGAGCATGCTCTTAGAAGTCTTACCAAAATAGTGGTTTTGTAGGTTTTTAACAGAAGAGATGCCCTGGCTTCAAGGAATGTCCAAAGTTTCACCTCATTGTCCCAGCTCACTGGGAATTCAGAATTGCCAAGAGTGAAGATTCTGTCGATTGCATGCTCTCCTATCAAGTGTTCCTTCAGCTCATCTGTGAGGAGGAGAAAGGACAATCAGCAATTGCTCCATTTATTTTGGCCTCTGGGAAGGCTAACAAAACCAAACCATTCATGAGCATTAGTAAGTGGACCTGTTGCTTTCTGAGTTCTCCAGAGCTGAAGCTCCACGCTTTACTGGCACAGAATCGATTCAATTCTAAATTCAAACAGAGAATTGTTCCATTTATTCTGGCCATCACCAAGTTCAATGTGATTTTCTTCCAGCTAAGTCTGTGAAAATATCACAGCCTAAGAAGGCTTCACCATCACAGTGTGTGTATTGTTCATAATTTTAAACTTTTTGTGGTTTTAAATTGCTTTTATTTATTTCATCTTACAAACTCAACTTGAGAGGGGTTTTTTTTTTTGCATAAAGCAATAAATAACTACCTAACTAACTAATGATCTTTTATTTGCAATTCCCCACCTTCCTCAATATAGCATCTCCAAGAGAAAAGAGGTATAAAAATCCTGAAGAATATATTTTGGTTTACAAGCTAGGCTTGTAAATAGCCACTTGTGTAATCAATTGTGACAAGTAAACTTTGCCTAGGTTGGTTACAGCATGGTGTTGATAATGCCAAGGTTGCAGGTTCAATCCTTGCCTGGGACTGCTGTATATTCCTGCATTGCAGGGGGTTGGACTAGATGATCCTCAGGATCCCTTCCAGCTCTAAAATTCTATAAAAGCTTTTGCAAACTGGAAAATAGTCTTTCCATATCTTCAGTGTTCCATTAATGACTACCAGAGGATGGTATATATGGTCAAAAAGGCTGGGATATTTTTTCTTTGGTGGGCTAGCAATTTCTCTGGAATTCTTTGGAGGCCTGAACTTTCTTTCCTTAATCCCATTTTGACCTTCAAACAATCAAACAAAATTTGATACAATTTTTCATAAAGGTGTTTGTTTGTTTTTTTACCTTCCGTCATGCAAAACACTCTAAGGAAAGCCAGAAGCTGGGCTGAGATTGGAGGCTCTGTTGAGTGCAAGGCAAACACACTAGAACTAAAAAAGAAAGTAAAAAAAGGGAGTAAGATGTCAGTCTTTGGTAGCTTGATTATCTAGTATGAAAATCCTTAATTTTTAATATATTCTTATTATTGTAAAGTGAAGCTGCATAAGGGTTAATCCAACTTCTGAGCATTAAACTGAAGCTGGTCAAACTTTTCTCAGATAAAAATTGAGCAATTCCTCCTCTATAATAGATTAGTCAAGCATTACTTTACTATTACTTTATATAACTATCTAATAAAAATTGTGCATGCTTTCATTTACCACGTTAAGACCTATAGAAATCTCATTTCCAAGCTACAAAATATTAACACTTGCTCTCTTGACATACTGACCATCAGAAATTATTGAAAAATCCATTAGAAGAAAATCTATTCAGTCTAGCAAGATGGCTGGCAATTCAACCAAAGAACACTGACTAGATATTGTACAATAGTCTGAATTAAAAAGATTATGGTTCAAAAGTAACAGTGTGTGTTTGGATTTATGGTTCAAAAATGAAGGATGCTGAAAGCATTATAGGTCACAAATAGACCATGACAGTACTTTTATAATGAGGGGAAACAGAGAGCAAAAATAGCAAACCGGCATATTCTCTTGCCCTCCAACAGACAATTTATTCTAAAGATATTGGTAAACGTGTCTCATAATCAGCAAACATGCTTAATAACAGCAATTTAAGATAACTATATAGGAGTGAGATATAATGTGTAGGCTCCACCTACTTTAATGAACAGCAGTTTTGCTATAATGTTCTACTTGACCTTAAGAGCTTCAAATGTTTCAATACAAAAACAGCGTCTTTCAATTTGACTTACGTTGGGATGCCAGCGCGAGCTAAGACCTCTGCCTTCATAGCATACAGCCTGTCACTTTTACTCACTCCAAGCTTTATTTTCACTCTGTCATGTGAATTATTATCAAAGAAAAACCCACTGTGGATCACAAATTCAGCATTTGACCGAGTGCCATAAAAAATGTAAATCTAGGAGGATGAAAAGAGAAGCGAAGGGACAGAAAAATAGCTTAGGATCAACTCATGGAATGACAAATTACACATTACACAACCCCCCCCCCCATACTATAGTGCTGCAGACCACAATGCATATGAGAATGCTATCTTTAAATAACGGACAAGGCAAACTTTAACCCTAGGAACTGCTTTTGCTCAAACGCTTTGGACGCTGCTCTAAACATAGAGACCTCTACCCACATGTTCCCAAAGCTCCTCTATTGACCATCTTCAGAACTACATGCATTAGAAATAGAGAGCAACAGAATTCACACAGAAGTGCAGCTTTTTCCCAAAAATGGTGTACCGTGAGCTGTCAAATGGCTTGACCAAGCAAAGAAAGAGAACACCTCACCTAAAAAGATGGCATTCACATTCTAAAGGGACCTCAAAATATTACTGGATATTATATTATTCCTGAACCGGGTTCCGTCTGACAGAGTTTGCTGATACTACGCGGGGGGGGGGGGATTAACTGAGATTTTCCTTCTGCTTACCTTCCCAAGGCCACTGAATGGAAGCCAGCTAGCCGAGAGACTCGAGGTCTACTCTATGTGTTAAATAACATCTAATTCTATAAATGTGTACTGTAGTTATCAGAACTGGTGCCCTATGATTAATTTTGGATAGTGCTCCCCCTTTTCAACAGATATCCAAGAGAATGCTTATCCTCTCTCCAGTGTGTCAACTCTGCTTCATCCTTCACCTCTGTCGCATTCTGTTAGCCGTCAGTGGATTTATACTTGGGCTTTTTTAATGGAAAAAGCAAAGATCATCTGAGCGCCAGGGGTGCAAAGTTTTTGCAAAACACCAAAGCTAGTAAGTTTTCCTAATAACTAGAAATGGAAACCTATGCCCACTAGTGAGAAGTGGGATCCAGGGTCGGTGTGACCCATTTCGCCACCAGCTCTGCCAGCACTGTTGCTGTGGCGCTGGCATCAGTATCAACTTCTGGTGAGATATTGCCAAAATCTTGCAAGGTTTCTCATGATTTCGTCAAGATCTTGTGGGACCAATGCCGGCACTGCTTCTGAGGCTTCTGCTGCCTGAGGCAGCTGCTTGGCCCGGCCCATAAGTGGGCCGGCCCTGTACTTGCTGGAATATTCTGGTCTGTTTCCCTCTTCATGGGGATGGAGGGGGAAACAAGGTCTTGCTGCTAGCCCACATACATATCAGTGTAAGGGTGCAGAGCATAGCATATACCAAGAGGAAGGGAGCACAGTTGGGAAAGGAACAAAACAGAGACTCAGAGGAGGTAGGAACCAGGTCCCCCGAACAGCAGCATGCATCAGTAGAAGAAGAAAATCTGCATCCTGATCTCTTTAGTAATTCACGTGCCAGTCACCATGTTGCTTTTCAGTTACCGGTGGCTAATTGATGCCTGGATTTTTGGACTCTAGAGAAGGGGGCATAATATTCTTTCCACTTTCCCCACGTATATAAGTACCAAATTTAACTTAATTGTGTGCAAGTTTATGGGGACAAATGACCTATTTTATTTTATTTATTATTAAATTTGTATACTGCCCGTCACCTGAAGATCCCAGGGAGGTTAGCAACAGACTATGAGAACATCCAATAATTTTACCTAATAATGTTGTTTGCTAAATTAGCAGCTGGGACATGTTTCCGAATTGCAAGAAATTTATGAGAAATTGTAAACCTATATGAAGCATCCACTTCAAGCTGTTGTGACAGGGTGGGGTATAAACAGCATTAACAAATAGCTCTTTATACTACATCACAGGGAAGTCCAAGAATTAATGGTCAACAGTAATAATGGACAACATGAATTGCAAGGATATGAGAAGTGAGCACTGAAGGCAGATATTGATGCCTGTTAAAAGGAGCTATACATCCCTTGGAGAATGGATCCTGACAGCTGAATTGGTTAGTGACATCATCTTTTATTTTCTGGACGGTTAAGTGGTAAGAAGTCAGAAAACAGCTGAATGTGAACTAAATAATGCCAAAGAGCAAAATGCTGAACAAACAATGGCTGCCCAGCTCATGGTGCTCAGGTCAAGTATTTTAAATGCCCTCACCTACGTGAACATTTCTACCAATGTGCTATCATTCAAAACAAAAAATGGCTGAGTTACTCACGGCACAAGGTAAGGTTGCATTAGATCAAGGCATTCTTCTTCCTTTGCAATGACAAATGCACTTTTTATGTTACAAAAAGAGAGCTATCTATCCTCAGTCTTTATAACACATTTGTAAGGAATGTCCCATGGAACACTCCTAGTGAAAATTAACAAGACTCCTGAAGCTAGATTAGAATTGCGAGTATTTACTATCAATTGGATGCATCTGTACATGTATGAATTCTACACATGGAACTTCAAATGTTAAATCACACACACACATCTCAAGATTACCTGTTCGTCAGCCTTAAAATCTTGAAGTGCTACACATTCACAACGGTCATCTTCCAAATTGTAGCCTGTGGTGATCTATACAGAGGAGTCAAAAGAAAGAAGAAATTTTTCAGCATTTTATAGTTCAACCTTGTTTGTATGAGCCTGATCTTCCTTTAAAGCAGGCACCCCCAAACTCAGCCCTTCAGCTGTTTTGGGACTACAATTCCCATCATCCCTGACCACTGGTTCCGTTAGCTAGGGATGATGGGAGTTGTAGTACCAAAACAGCTGGAGGGGCGAGTTTGAGGGTGCCTGCTTTAAAGGATGTAAAATGACCACTACTTTAAAAATAACAAGAAGAAACAGCACCTACTACCCTGTAACAAAGTCAAGCCTCTTAGTCCTTGGGGAAGTTACCTTGTATTTTCCTTTCTTTTAGAGCAGTGATTGGGGAACCTGTGCCCATCCAGCTGTTGCTGGATTCCATCTCCCTTTAGCCCCAGCCAGCATGGACAATGGTCAGGGATTATGGGAGTTGTAGTTTAGCAACATCTGGAGGGTCAGAGGCTCCCCAACCCTATTTCAAAGGCTGGTGAGAGATTGGTCAGATAACCCCCCCTTTTTTTTTAAAAGATGGGGACAACATTTGTGCACTTCCAGCTTGCAGGGACCTCACCTGTTCTCCAACAATTCTCAAATATTATAGAAAAGCTATAAAAAATGGCACCCTTCTAGACCACTTTGTGTTGGTCCTGAGTTCACTCCTCTCGAACATAACAGTGCTGTTGAGTTTCAAGTTACTCCCATGGGGTCCTCTGCAGCCCTGCACTAAGAGAACTAGTTTCTGTCACACACTTCAACTCTCAGAGCATTTTTCATCACTCTAAATCAAAAAGAGGAGTGGATAACTGTGAATCTTTGGGGGATACTTTCTTCAGAGGACTCCAATTTATTTGCAAATAATCTCTTTATCTGAAACTTAGGTAATTATTCTTAGATGGTGATGGGATTTTGCTGTGGGAAGATGAAGACGTTGCCACTTAACCATATTTCTCTTATCAAACCACAAGGACTAAAGTGGCTCATTATTAACATGGAAATTGTCCCACAATATTATTTGCATGAAGAAGGAATGTTCTTGATAAATCAAGCCGTACAACACCGAAAACATACCAATCTCAAGGAACAGGCCTCATACATAGTTGTGTCCTGAAGATGTGATTTGAAACAAAATCTACAGAGGTTTTCAATTGGGGCTGTAATGCTTAGTTGAATAATCAGTTAAATCAATAGATTTAAAATCTTTTGATTGATTTAAAAGAGTGCCCTATTTAATCAGGCAGAAGAAGAAAGAGAGGGTTGCAGGTATCATCTTAGAGGAGGTATTAATCTTATATCACATACAAGTGAATGCCTTTTCTAGTATGTTGCCTGCTCTGACACATGCCATCATCTAAACACAAAGGGAAAATGTTTTTTCTTCTTCTTCAAACTAAGACCTTTAATCAGAATACTTTAAATTGGATGACAATCAGTTTCAAGTGTTTCAGGGCTCTTTTAATGTTTCGATATATAGAATTTGTGGGAGGGTGCCTGGTTTAATGGCATATGAAACTTGTTTTATGGGCTTTCATTTTCTTTCTTTTTTTAAAAAAAGCTGTTCCTCTCATTCCCTAGCGGAATAGCTTCCTGCTTTTTTGTCCTTCTCAAAGGTTTCTCTTTTCCTTATATCATTTTTGTTTGTATACAAGTGTTCCAAACAAAAAAGCAGCTTGGAATTTGGGCATGTCGGATTTTTATAGTTCTATAAAAAAAATTCCTCTTGTCCCAGGAGCTGAAAAGTGAGGAGAAACTATCCATGGGGGATCAAACCCATAAGGACTAGCGCAGTAGTCCCAGCTAATCCCCAACACCAACACCCAGGGGAAATATAGACTACAGTCTAGCAAGGAGGGAGGGGGGCTAGGAAAAGCAAATAGCCACAGCAAAGGGCTCTGAACCAAATAAAATCCAAAGAGCTAATGGACAGTTTTGATTTTGAGTATCAACCTGCCCACAACATTCATTGAGCTCAAGGGAAACATCCCCTTCTATATCAAAGGGACATGAAAAGTAAACCTTAAGACACGAAAAATAGGCCAATATATGCACAAAATGATGAATTAAAATGTTTCATTAAAATGCAAACTTTGGATTCCCCCCCCCCTTCCGAAAATGCTTATAGCTAAATGCAAATTCAATGTTACAGTGCTGGTCAGGTTTAGTTATAGGTCCCCACTACAGTTCATGGACTGAGGGTGGAAGGGCAACAGATAGGAGGACTCCTCCCTTTATTACAGCTGGCTACATTCCAGCCATACAAATTATTAAGGTTTACACGAACGCACACTCTATCCAGGCAAAACTCATGCATATCATCCCAGTTGAAGGACACATCTACTCGGGCAAAAGCACTTGAAGGGGGCTAGGGTTAGGGTTAGCGAGAGGCATGGAGGAGCACCAGCCTGAGGGAATGCCAAGGGCTAGACAGAGAGGCTTGCAGGGCTGCATATGGACCTAGGCTTGAGATTGCTATATTATTTGCAGCTATGTTTTGAGAAGGTGCATGTCTTTGCCAACCAAATGGGACAGTGCAGATGTCCCAGCGCAGATGAAAACGGTTTACACCCAGGTGTGCTACAACAAATGGGCAAGTCCCGTCAATGAAGCATTTCCCTGTGAGCTTAGCACAACTCTGGCCTCTGATTCCATACTGATGCTCCATGAAATCCTGACTCACTGCATGAAAGCTGGAAGAGAGACGACCCTGCCTTCTTTGAAGTCTGCTGCAAAGTTGGTGGCGAGATGTTTCTCCAGTCACGTCAGCTATAATGCATCTCTATTCTTGCTCTACCCCATGGGCCTTTCTTCTTCTTCTTCTTCTTCTTCCACAAGCTAAATAATAAAAGGCTCTTTTGGTTTTAGCTGGAACCGTGTCCATCCTGCTTTCTCTTGCTCCTGACACTACTAATTAGATCACCCTGTTCCAAGAACTCTGTCAAGAATACTGTCTTCATGTATTTCTCATTGTTATTTTCTAGCGGTATTGTGACTTGACAATCAAACTGGTTGCTGGTGCTGCCAGAGGTTTAGAGCCTACTGGACGGAGAGGATCATCATGCAACAAGCCCAAAATTACTAGTATTAATACTATAGAAAAACAGAGATACAAGAGATCCATCAGCTGGTATCAAACGTCATAGCTCGAGAAAGGAGGCAACATATCTCTGTTTTTACTGCAGATTTGGATAAAGACAACTTCTGCACAAAGCAGTTCCTTTGCATATACTTTCTCCCCCCAGCAAAACTTGTATTGATGATTTTGTTCCTCAACATTATATTGTACTTCTTCTCCTTTCCAGCTATTAGTTTTAAGGTGGTACGGTCCTCTGAAACAAATATTTGCATCCCCAAATCAACACCTTTCATACCTAGAGGGTGCCCCCCATTCTGCTGCTTACGACAGTCATACCTCGGGTTGAAGTAGCTTCGGGATGAATATTTTCGGGTTGCGCTCCACGGCGACCCGGAAGTAAGGGAGCGCATTACTTCCAGGTTTCACCGCTCACGCAGACACTCAAAATGACATCATGCGTATGCGCAGAAGTGGCGAAATGCGACCCGCGCATGCGCAGTCGGGTCTTACGTTTACTTCAGGATCTGAACAGGGTTCCGGAACGGATCCCGTTCGTATCCAGAGGTACCACTGTATTGGAATTCTTTTACCTCCGAGTGTCTGGCTCCTTCTTTTTTGTGTGTGTTAAACACCTGTTAAAAATATCTCCTTCGTCCTGACATATTTAGAGTTGTCTTGTTAACCTGAGACATATCCATTATCCCAGGGATAGCCACTGTGAATTAGTCAATGTGCTGTTGGACACTCTCTCTCTCTCTCTCTCTCTCTCACACACACACACACACCCCAACAACACTGTTCTTACCAGCCCATTGGTGTGATTACACATGTCCCATAAAGGAATCAGTGCTAAGGTAACCCGGGAACCATCCTCAGCAGGAATCTGGTTTTGTCGTGTCATGACAGAGGAAACTGCCCATCTACAAGACAAAATACTCAGTTTAGTGAATGCTATAGATAGACAAAAAGTTCCAATTCAGATTATAATCCTTCCCAACTTTCTGCCAATAGCAGGGGGGGGGGAAAATCTGCTCTTAGTACCAACCAGTCGGGTGAAAAAGACATATTGTTAGAATTGAACAGGGTGCCTCTGAGCACATCAAGAGCCAAGGAATAACTGTTCAGTATAAGAACTGAGGGACGCGGGTGGCGCTGTGGGTAAAAGCCTCAGCGCCTAGGGCTTGCTGATCGAAAGGTTGGCGGTTCGAATCCCCGCAGCGGGGTGCGCTCCCGTTGTTCAGTCCCAGCGCCTGCCAACCTAGCAGTTCGAAAGCACTCCCGGGTGCAAGTAGATAAATAGGGACCGCTTACTAGCGGGAAGGTAAACAGCGTTCCGTGTGCGGTTCTGGCTCGCCAGAGCAGCGATGTCACGCTGGCCACGTGACCTGGAAGTGTCTCTGGACAGCGCTGGCTACCGGCCTCTTGAGTGAGATGGGCGCACAACCCTAGAGTCTGTCAAGACTGGCCTGTACGGGCAGGGGTACCTTTACCTTTATAAGAACTGAAATGAGTTCACAGTTCTTTCAGAAGAACATCATTCTTTCTCCATTTCAACAACCTAGGTTTTTTTGGGGGGGGGTCATTTTGCTTGCTGTTGCTACTGCAAAACAATTGGGAATCAGAATCCCTTGCCAATCTACTGTCTTCTGTCCACTTATGGTGACCTTTAAAGCGATATACAGCTTTGGCCCTTGAAGGAGCATCTCCACCCCCATTGTCCAGCCCAGACACTGAGGTCCACCTCTGAAGGCCTTCTGGCGGTAACTTCACTATGAGAAGTGAAGTTACAGGGAACTAGGCAGAAGGCCTTCTCAGTAGTGGTGCCACCCTGTGAAGCACCCTCCCATCAGATGTCTACGAGATAAATGAATATATGACTTCTAGAAGACATCTGAAGGCAGTCCTGTATAAGGAAGCTTTTAATGATTTATGGTTCATTGTATTTTAAGTATTTTGTTGGAAGCCACCAAGAGTGGCTGGGGCAATCTAGTCGGATGGGAGGGGACTAACATTATTGTTGTTGTTGTTGTTAATAGTAGTAGTAGTAGTAGTAGTAATAATAATAATAATAATAATAATAATAATAATAATAATAAATCACTTGCAGCATCTATCTTCTGAAAACCTAAAGGAATGTGGGACAGACTAAGCAAACAAACAAGTTGTATCCAGTTTTGCTTAATGTATTGGTTTGATGTGACAGCTCAATAATAAGTCAGAAAATTAAGATAATTTCTCTGGGAGTCAATTCAGACATAGCAAGACTTCTATGAATGTAAATTCCTTTTCTTACAAAGCATGCTCCAGCATATATGCATATATATATATATATATATATATATATATATATATGGTCTTACTTTTGTTTTAACAGATACCAGAGTATTAAATAGTAACTGTGGGCCAAGGCCAATTAAAAAAGTAATATAAAGCATTAAGAAAAGTAATACAACAGCATTTAGAAACAACCATTAACTAATGCTAACTGGTTAGCTATAAAACTTTTGATGGTAAAATCTAGATGGCTAAATTAATTATATTCTCCGATCTGTAATATAACTACTATGGCTGGACCAGGGATTCATGATTAATAACTTGATTATTTTCTAGGGAAGCATTTGAAGGCATTTAACAACCCACTTTTATATAAAAAGGGAAACCAACCTGTAATCATCATAAGTGAAAGAATCCTTTAATGGCAGTTTGCTGGCATTAGGATGGGTCTGAGAAATAAGAGGATTCAGAGAAGAGTTGAAAAGGAAAAACAAAACAAAAAACAACAACCAGAAATCAGTCAGCAGAATTTCATTATTTAGCTGCCTAACAGATCCTAACAAGAGCCAAATGAAGCAGGAGGCGTCCAGCCGCGCTACAGAGGGATCATCATGCTATTATGCTCTCATACATCACTGTCAACTTAATTTGTTGTGCCCAGCAGCCGCTATAAATCTGTTTCTTCATATTTCAAAGACTGGAACCCACAACATCTCTCACACACACATTTAAGGTGGACTCCCATCTCCACGCCACACATAAAAACTTGATTGAGAAAAAGCTTGTCCCAATTCTTTTCTTTTCTTAACCTGAAATGTTAATTCTATGTTCTCAGTCACACTTTTGGGGTGAATGTATTTTAAGCATCTCTCTTCCTTTACATCCAAAAATGCTTCTTTTTCTTTTTTTAATAATAATAATCATCAGACGTTACACATGCCTTGCAAGTCATAATACATTTAAATGTTGAAGCAGTTATGGTCACATGCATAGGTTATATAATTATATTTTGGACATACCACATGTTAAAGGATGCACGCCTCTGCACCTTACAAGGCAGTAAGCCCTATTGAGATAAATGGAATTAAGCTCTGAGTAACCATGCTTAGAATTGGGAACGTAGGAAGCTATTGGTCCCTCTACTTCAGTGTTGTCTATGCTGACTGGCAGGGACTCTCTAGGATTTGGGATGGAGTCTCTCTGGTCTTCTCTGACCTGGCGGAGGGGAAACCAAGGCGGGTAAAAAGGAAAGCCTCTTCCCATCTATGTGAAGGAAATGTGAAATTGTCATTCCTACTCCTTCTGCAGAATGCTGGGATCTCACTCTGGGGTTGGGATGAAATACTAAACATCTGTTGGGAAAAGAATTCTGAGCAGGGAGGGGTTGTTTGTTTGTGTGCATTAACCATCCCCCCCCCAGGATAGCTCTGCATGATACTCTTAATTTTAGGGTTGTGGGTTTGAGTCCCATGTGTTGGGTGAAAGACTCCTGCACTGCAGGGGGTTGGACTAGATGATCCTAAAGGTCCTTTCGAACTCTGCAAACCTGAATCTAAAATCTCTCCCTTTGGGAAGGAGCTCATAACATGCCCGGTGCCTGCCGCTCAGCCCCAGAAGAGGAAGCTCACCGACTTTGGGGGTGTCTCAGGAATTTTACTTTCTGGAATATGGCAAGCCTACCTTAATTATTATGAGGAAATAAGAATGATTTAAAAGAGGAATTAATTACACAGAACTAGCCTCTCGTTTCTGGCCAACCGACTTCAAGTACTTCCAAGGCCACTTTGCCTTATGCACTTTAAAACACAGTAGCTAAAAAGAATCATAGCCTTTTGAACATGCTTAAAAAAAACCCTTTCCCCTCTTAAGAGATTGAGAGCCATTAACAGTATCATTTTAATATTCCATTTCAATTACAGTTGAATAGGCAGGTTTCAGTAAGTGATCAAATGAATGGTTATTTCTAATGATACAAATGAGTTTTGCTTGGATGTATCTTTGCAACACTGTTAATGCAAGGAGCTCTATGTAGTGTGCTCCTTTTTTCTTTCTTTTTTACTCTTGATGCATTAGCATCACAAGTGCATGGTAATTTATCATCTCTCACAGTAATGTACTTGCTGGCACTGTGTGCAGGACAGTAGGGGATGAGGTAAAAGTGGCTCAAACCGTAAATCAATTAGAAAACAAAAGCTTGTGCTCAGTGCACAATTTTAGGCAAATTATATATTACAAAAGACTGCCAATTGGGTGTTATGTCCCAGGTGTCTGCTCTCTCCAACCCCTTAAATTAGCCCTATGGATGGACTAGCTCTGAAAACCACGGCTCTCTCAACTAATAAAAAATAAGTGATTTGGTTTACATGCAAAATTTCATTTCAGACTATTTTAGTTGCATATTCTCAGAATAATTTGTGTTAAGCTCAGTGTCACAATTTAGGATAGTCATTATCACTAGTCTCATTATAAATCAAAAAGCATATTGAAATCAAAACCAAGCACATAATTTTTCAGTTATCCCGTTTTTGCTGTTTGACAATGTGGGCATTGATACAGTGAAAATATATAATTCAAGGTTACACAAATGGTCCGATTTTGGTAAAAGTTACCTTGACAAGTAAAAAATGTTCACAGATAACTGGTTATTAATTTGCTTAGATATTTTGCATTGACATGGCGGGGAAAAACACATTAGAAAGCCAACATCTTGTCTTGTTATGGGCAAACCCTTTTTGAAAATACCTATGGACATCATAAAACAACCTTAGACAAAAAGTGCTGTTACTGTACATTATTTTTGTGTAACAATTCAACTAAGAAAAGGGTTCTTCCAGCTAAGCGGTCATACCCTTTGGTTAAGATCGCTCTGAAGCAAAAATGGGATTGCTAGAATGGCTATGACTCCACCTACTGGTACCAAACTGGAACACATTTAATACAGAATACAGCCTTAGAACTCTTGTCTTAAAAACATGCAGAAGGGCAATTTTCTTCAAGATGGAATTTAACATTGATTAAGATATAGTTGATCAGATTACTTCACCACAGACTGAAAGAAGCTAACTTTTTCAGAGAATGAAAGCTCACACAGACCTTATTGTTTTGAAATCTATGTTTATCCAGTAAAAAAACCGACAAAAACAAAAACGATGTTGGCTTACAGAAAATTAAAAATTGACCTTGTTTTTGTTTTCATTATTATGATTTTTTTAAAACAACAACAGCTCTTTAAACAAGACAAATATACAACTGATTCCGATGTCACATTAAACCAGAATTCACCTAATAAACCCGGTCAGTGGAAGCTCTGTTTGCACAATGGGACTTCCAACCAAAAAAGCAATTAGCTGAGGGGGTCAGGGGAACCCCAAGAACAATATATGAGGCGAGGGGGAATTGTTCTGTCCAGCAAGCTGCCACCCTAATGTTCAACTGTGGCTTAATGATTCCCTGATTTGCTCTACTTATGCCCATGCCAAACCACAAGCTTGTTGTGTCCTTTGAACTTGGGCTCTACAAACAAACCACGAGCCATAGCCCAAGTTTGTTATCAAGTGATTGCTACATTGCAGGGGGTTGTATTAGATGACCCTTCCAACTCTACAATTCTGACTCCAATGCAACAAAGCAAGGCTTGTGGCTTTTTGCAGCCATGATCGAGGGAAGAGTGAAATGGGGAATTCTGAGTAGTGTTAAACATGAACTATGGTTTAATATGACATTCAAATATATAGTCGTACCTCGGAAGTCAAATGGAATATGTTCCGGAAGTCCGTTCGACTTCCAAAACATTTGGAAACCAAGGAAACTCCTGCAGCCAATCAGAAGCTACAGAAGCTGCGTCGGACGTTCGGGTTCCAAAGAACGTTTGCAAAGCGGAACACTCACTTCTGGGTTTGTGGCATTTGGGAGCCAAAATGTTCCGACTCACAAGGCATTCGACTCCTGAGGTACGACGGTATCCATAAAGTCACTTAAAAGCCTTGTACTGAACAGACCAATTTAACCTCACGAAAAAAGGAGCAGATCACTGCCTCTGGAAAATCACCACTAAAAGGGCTCTGCTTCACATGCTAGCGGGTTCATGAATAGAGGAAGCCTAGAGCAGAGCCTCAATACATAGAAACTTGCCTATTACCACCTCAGGCTATGCAAATGAGCATTTCCTAAGGTATTCTGGTCCGGGACATAGTCTTAACAGTACACTCTCATTAAAAACATGCAATCTACACATCCACTCTGTGTCAAGAGTAACCAACATGGTGCCCTTCAGATGATGTGGACTACAACTCCCATCATCCCTCAACGCTGGTCATGACTGGGGCTGAAGTGACTTGTAGTCCAAAATCTGGAGAGCATCATTTCAGCTGCCCCTGCCCTATGTGGCCCATGTGTAAATGCTATGTTTGTCATCCCTTGGTTACTAACCTGATTCCAGCTCCTTCTCAGTATTTTCTCATTTCCTGCCCCCAAACCATACAAATTCATCAAACACTGCCCATAGAAGAAAGTTGCAACAGAATGCAAACTTGATTATGCATTTTGATGTGTATGCTTTGCCCATAAAGGTATTATTTCAAGGAGGAAAACATAGGACTTCTCAATCTGTGGATGCACATTTATAGTTCCAGTTTTATCCTGGTTGTGTTGCCGATACTAAAATATCACTGAAAGTGGACACATTCCATATCTAACACAATTAGTGTTTAATAATGTGTTAAATGGCAAAAACTAAAAATGATCAGGGAAAATAAAAGTCAACAGCTTTATACAATGTTTTCGAAAGCCATCTGTACCTTTTAAGATACTTTTTTCAAAGGAAATTTCCTTATTTGTACAGTTCCAGAAATCAAGCTCTACTCTTAATGGAGCACAGGAAACAATACTGAATTATAATACAAAATTATTACTGTTTCACAGCAAAATATACGTGTTTAGAGAATTGTGTTATAAAGAAATTAATTGCTGAATTTCTGAGAATGCTTTCCAGAGTTTTAAAGTATGTTGGCGTATCTCTGCTGAAGTGACCAAGAGAAGAATACTTTGATTAAAAAATCGATTTAGCATGCAGCTTCTCTTTACAGTCCCTCGGTAAAAATGAAATCTCCCTAACAAACACTTAATAAAACCTGTCAATATATCTAGAAAGAAAAATGACACAAATGCATTAAGTATTAAATACCCTTGGAAAAAGTCACATATTCCATGAATTTTTGATGTACTATCTTGACATTAATGTAAAACCTTGATATTTATAATTGACAGATATTTAATAAAGTATAGAATATGGCTGCTGCAGAGCATGCAAATTTTTCAGGTTGATCAAAAAGAGATAGACACTTATTCAAATGAAGCAACCAGTTGATAAATGGCAAAAATCAGATCTTTTAAGTTCATGCTTCCTTAGCTTTAGAAACAGTATTACATTCACTTTATTTTAGTCAACTCT